TACCCTGAGCGTGACTAGGGGTGGCATCGCAACCTCCCGATCCGCCCTGCTCTGTGCATGACAGGGGGCAGCGCCCCAACTCCCCAATTGGCCCTGCTCTAAGCCCGACCAGGGGCTGCACCTAGGGATTGGGCCTGCCCTCTGCCACCTGGGAGCAGGCGTAAGCCAGCAGGTCATTATCTCCTGAGGGGTCCCAGACTGCAAGAGGGCACAGGATGGGCTGAGGGACCCCCTCTCCCCCGCAAGTGCACAAATTTTTTTGCACCGGGCCTCTAGTCTATACTAATAATAGAGGAATATGCAAATTGTCCATGACTCCATCACAGTGATAACCGAACAGCAGGCTGAGTGGGGCGACCAGACTGGCAGGGGGGTTACTGAGGGATGACCAAACGAATGAACAGCAGGCTGCGTGGGGTGACCAAGCCAGCGAAGGGGGGGAGCATTTAGGGGAGACCAGGACGGCAGGGGGAGTGGCAGTTGGAGGTGACCAGGCTAGTTGGGGGTCACCAGGCCAGCAGGGGGGGATTTGGGGGTGATCAGGCCGACAGGCAGGTGAGCAGTTAGGAGCCAGTGATCCCAGATTGTGAGAGGGATGTCCGACTGATCACTGGGATCGGGCCTAAACCGGCAGTCAGACATCTCCCGAGGGGTCCTGGATTGGAGAGGGTGCAGGCTGGGCTGAGGGGGCCCCATGCATGAATTTTGTGCACTGGGTCTCTAGTATTAAAATAATCATGTGACTGGGAGTTTTTATTTCTCTTTTCAATTCCAACAGTTTCTGTCCCATCTATTTTGAGGCTATATTACAAATTTTCAGTTGCTATAGCTTCCTGAAAAATTGAATTGTGTGTTTTAATGATACATCTCTTTTTATTTCAAGGAATACATTTGGACTTTAAGTCAGGTAAAATATAAGGATCCAAAGAGGTTTAAAGTAAAAGTCTGGAAAGAAATATGTCATTCAAACACTAACCAAGTGAAACTTGTTGTTAATGTTCTTATTAAACAAATTAAAAAGTGATCCATGTGACTTATCAAATAGGTAAAAATTATCCAAAAAATAAAGACTACCCAGAGGATGTGGAAATATAGAAACTCTCATACTGTGTCTTAAGACTATAACCTGGTATAAACGTTCTGAGAGAAAATATAGAGATATATCTCAGCAACTTTACAAATGTGTGGACACTTGCTTCACAATTCCACTTTTAGAAATTTAGCCTAAGAAAATGATGTAAAAAATACACAAAGATCACTGTACATATAGTGAAAAAGTAAAATGTTTAGGATAAACTAAATAATAAACAGCAGGATGAGTGTCTGGAAAGATATAAATGAAAATGCTAACAGTGGTTTCTCCATTTAAAGAAATATGAACAAATTTTAGCTTTACCTTCAGGCATTTTCACATTTTTCAGTTTCCTAAGGCATTTAGTACTTTTAAAATTAGAATCAACAATAAAATGGTAAATATAATTTGAAAAAAAAAGTTAACTATTGCATTTAGTTCTAGCCCTGTGAAGAAATAGATTAGTAGCGCTTTTAATCTTGTTATTTGAAAATGCTAATACAGCCTCTTCACTTCTCTCTACTTGTTGAATCATACATTCCAAACTACGTAATGAAATCAAGGTTATTTCTCATATAAAAAACTAATTTCCAATTAAAGAATGTGCTTCTTATAGACTATGACATAGTTAAGAAAAACTGCACTTTATCAAAGATGATTCTGATTAGTCAGAAATGAAATGTTATTCTTAAATAATTGCTTACTTTAAAAGTTGTAGGTAAATCTTCATCTTCCGTAGGATCTATGTCAAACCAATGATCATTTGTATCACTTATTTCTTGTAAACTTTTATAAAATTCTAGCAGTCCTCCATTATATCTGCAAGGCATTTTAAATAAGGTTAGTTTGAATGTGACACTGTAACTAAATAGTTTAAAATAAAACAAATAACTCTTTTTTGTGTGTGATAAGTAGGGTAGTGATAACCTCTGGCATGCTATAGAAATACAAATACTAGGACTCTCACCTGTGGTAGATTGGGATGAAAAACAGGTGGAAGGGGAGACAATTGATTATGTAGTAGCTCACTTGAACAGTATAGGGACCATGGTAATTAAAGGGATTGTAGAGTTGATTGGCTTTTGTTTACTGTCTTGGAAGCCTTGAAGAAAGAGAATGACAGGCACAGGTCAGCCAACTATTGACTCAAGACACACTGTGAAAGACAGAGGCCTCTATGGTGGCATTTAAAGAGACCCTAATCTTCTGTAGATATATTGGGTAAATACAATCTATGTTTAAAAAAATCAGTCCCAGATTTAATCACAAGGTGCAGCAAACCATAAAAGAGATGAAATGCATAACCTTGATGGGACTACTATTATCAACTCAAGGTAAAAGGCCTCCATGGTAATATATAAAGAATCCTTACCAACCCTAATTATAAGGACAAACTATGCTGAAAATGAGGCCCAGTATTTAATCACAAGGGTAGAACAACAGCAAAGACCAAAAGCACAGCCTCATGCCCTAACCGGTTTGGCTCAGTGGATAGAGCGTCGGCCTGTGGACTCAAGGGTCCCAGGTTCGATTCCAGCCAAGGGCACCAAAAACAAAGAAACAAACAAAAACAAACAATAAAGCACAGCCTCAACAGTACCATTATGTGAAAATCGGGGCTCTGACAGGAAACAAGTAGACTCTGAGATCTGGAATGGGGACATTTAGGTGAATATGCTTAGAAACAATGAATTCCTAAATTCTCATGACCCCTCTGACTGGCAAAGACCTACTCCTTGCTAGGAGGGGCAGATTCCCTTTATTTAAGGGCCATACAAAAATATCATTTGGAGTACATGTCTCAAAAGATGATGCCTTCCTTCTCAAGATCCTCCCTCTCCACTCATTGCCTACAGACTAATATATCTAGGATCACATAAAAGCAAAGTCCAAATGGGAACACAGAGCCCCTGCCCGGGAAAAAAAAACAACAAACTCAATTCATCATGAGAATTGCAGAACTTGACTAGTATGTACTAGAACATGTGTAGCAATGAACCTTAAGAGTGCTGAACTAGTGGACAAATATACAGCTGGATAGGGAAATGTTTATTGACATGGGGCAACTTCCATAACTTAAGATTTAATTTCCTAGTAAGGATACCTTAAGCCAGTCCTAACATGCTGCTTAAGAAGGTTATTTGAAGCTTGGACATAACAATGGCCTATAGTAACTGAGGTGGAAATGCTGGAAACTTTGTGGCAGAGTATTAAAAGAAAGTTCAGGGAGGGGAGGATATTAGAAAGGACTTAGTACATAAGACCACAGAGTCCATCCCTAGACAATGTCCCCTGGAATAGTGGTCATCAACCTTTCAGACCTCATGGACCACCAGTGGTCCACGGACCACCGGTTGGCAACCGTTGCCCTGGAAAGACCAAGGTGACACTCCATCCATTAATGCAATAAGAAATATAGAGTCAGAAAGGCAGCTCAGTGGTGGTGGTTCTCTGTAGGTCAGGGATGAAAGTAAATGATACCATATAATGGACTTTCTAGTGTCAACCATCTGGTAAATGGATTCTCTCCAATGCCCATAAGTAAAGAGAATAAAAAGTAGTGTACATATTTGAGGGAAGGACAGCAATATACATTCGTTTCTTGTGTCAGAGCTATGTTAATTCTCTCCACAATACAGACTAAAGGGATTTTTATTATTCTAACATTCTGCAAAACATCACACTGTTCATTGGTATTGATGACATCATACTAGTGAATACAAAGAGGGAAATCTTCTGGATACCTTAGTAAAAAGCAAGCATGCCAAAGGATAGAAGATAAACCAAAGAATCAGGGAACTAACAGGTAGTGATGCTTTTATGGATCCAACTAGAGGCCTGGTGCAGGAATTCATGCATGGGTGGGGTCCCTTGGGGTGGCCTGAGGGGATCAAGCTGAAACCCACAGTCCAATGCCACCTGCAGCTCCTACCTGCTGTTCCCGCTCATCTCAGCCCCACTATGCCTGCCACAGGCTCGCGCCCAATCAGTCCCGATTGGGAGAGGCTCGCACCGCCACAGCGGCTCTCGCCAGCTGTGAGCCCTGTGTCTGGTGCCTTCCCGAGGGGAGTGGCCTGTGGGATCAGGCTGAAACCGGCTCTCCAACATTCCCGAGGGACCCCACCAGTGCAAGATCGAGGCCGGGAAGGGACAGCAAGAGGGTTCCAGGTCATGTCTGGTCCATCTTGCTCAGTCCCGATCAGCCAGACCCCAGCAGCAAGCTAACCTACCAGTCGGAGCGTCTGTCCCCTGGTAGTGCACATCATAGCAACTGGTCAACCAGCCGACTGTCTGCCCCCTGGTGGTCAGTGCACATCATAGCGAGCGGTTGAGCGGCCTTATCATATCATTAGCATATTACGCTTTGATTGGTTGAACAGTTGACCGGTCACCGGAGTACCGGACACTTAGCATATTAGGCTTTTATTTATAGGATGGCTGGGCCAAGCAGTAATCCTTCATATGGATTTGCACAAGTAAACTTTGTGTAATTCATCCTTCAGATCTCAGCTAAACATTATTTCCTCAGAGAGACTTCTGATTCCCAGAACCAGACTGGGGCTCTAGAAGTCATTTATTGTTCACTGTATATTCCTTCATAGTTTTTTTTTATAACATTCTATAAATATTTTGCACAACTTATTATTTGATTAATATCTATAATATTATCAGTTACATGGGAATAGGAACTGTCTATTTTGTAAATAATTGTATCCCCAAATCTAGCACAGTCTCTAGAATATGATAAATGCTTAGCAAATAAAATGAATGATGTTACAAATGGCTAAGGATCTCCAAATAGGAAGTGAACAGACTGCTAGTCCATATAGATTACCCTGTACAATTTCACTAAATATATAGGAAGTGAAAAGACTACTAGTCCATATAGATTACCCTGTACAATTTCACTAAATATATAATACCCAATACTTCCAAAACTCAGCATTTGGATTCTTTTGATGCTTTATTAGTTCTATTATAACTTAAACACCTATTCCAAGTGGTGATAATATTAAAAACTACAACCATCGTTTATTTATTAAGATAGCATTTCTGTGTCCTGGGCACTGTGTTAATTACCTACAACATCTTATGAGGTGGGCACTACTTTTAGTTCCATTTGACAAATAAGAAAAAAGATAAGGCTTAGCGAACATTAAGTTTCCTTAAATCAAAGATTAGGTCAGTGGTAGAAAATGTATTTGAACCCAGGTCTGTCAGACTCCAAAGACTATATACCAATGTCTATGTTATACTGCCTCTTATTGTCACGGCCTGTTAAGTTTGACACTTAATATTCTCAAGTACATTAAATTAAATTATTATCTGTAAAAAATAGGTGAAGAAGAAAAAAAATCCGCCCAGCATGATGATACCTGGTATACTGTGCAAACTTTATCCCCATTTCACAATGCAGAAAGCTGACAGGGAAGATCTACCCATTAGTTAAAATCCTTACCTCTTCTGAGCACATCGAAGCAAACCACGTCCAAAATAAACTAAAGACATAAAGTTTTCACAAATTTCATTTTCTTGGATCACCATCTTCATCACTAGAAACTTATTCTCAGCTTCCGTATAATCCTGTAGGAACATAAAACTCGGTTTGGCTAGCGTAAAGACTTTTTTTTTCTTTTACAATAAACAAATATTCCCCAAACTTGAGAAGTTAGGGAAACTTTAATATTGGTCCAGTCTTTTGGTCATTTATTCACATCTCTAATCCTAGCACTGAAGTATGTGGTCACATATGCTTAAAATATGTACAATAACCTAAGGTATTTTTTGACCAACATTTCAAAGTGAACACTAAAATAACAATAGCCCTGGTCTGGTGGCTCAGTTGATTGGAGCATCATCCCATACTTTAAAAGGTTGTGGGTTCGATTCCCAGTTAGGGCACATACTTAGGTTGTGGGTTCGATCTCTGGTACGAGATGCAACCGATAAATGTTTCTCTCTCACATTAATGTTTCTCTTTCTCTCTCACTCCCCCTTCTTGTCTCTCTAAAAATCATGCCCTGGCCGGTTTGGCTCAGTGGATAGAGCGTCAGCCTGTGAACTGAAGGGTCCCAGGTTCGATTCCGGTCAGGGGCACATGCCCAGGTTGTGGGCGCATGCGGGAGGCAGCTGATCAGTGATTCTCTCTCATCATTGATGTTTCTATCTCTCCCTTCCTCTCTGAAATCAATAAAAATATATTTTAAAAATAAATAAATAAAAATCAATAAAAACAAATCCTCGGTGAGGATTAAGAAAAACAACAATTTTTGTTTGTAAAACTGGCAAATATTAGTACCTAATACTTTATAAGTCTCACTAATTTTCTTTCTAATTGGAGCACAAATCTTCCTAACTTTTCAAATAACAAATAAAAAGTATAGATTTCTAGAGACAAAAAAGTAAAGGAAATATCAAGGTTGCAAAGATAATATGAGAAATCATTAAAAAACATAAAAAGATAATGTTAAATTCGAAGAACTCTTAGAAATCACCTAGTTAACTCCCAGATTTTTACTTTTTGCACTTCACCTTATTCAACCAAAAATTCAAAGTATAACTCATATTTTACAAGGGGTAAGATTAGGACCAGCCAGATTAAACTATACTAGAAAATGGATTAAAATGTATTGTATAAGTGAAAGATGATAAGCAATTTTGTTTTACAAAATGGTAAGCATTTAAAGGATAAATAAAATAACTAAAGTTGTAAGCTAAAATTATGTTTCCCCTATCAACTTTTATTTCACAAAATAGTCTCTAGCATAACTATACTATATTAAAAATATATAAAAGAAAAGTCACTGAGTGGTTTCAATTTTTAGAGAATTTCAAAAATCAACATTTTAATTTGTTAAAATGAGGTCAGTATATGTAAAAAGATTTATAATAGGCAAATAACAAATGCTACATACCTCTTTCTTTCCTCTTTCAGTGAGTGCTAATCCATACAAGAACAGTAATGTCAAATAATAATCAATATTAATCTGATGTGCCTAAAATGATAAAATATATTTTAATTGATTATTTAGACTAAGCTACTTTAAAATTTAGCAAGATTAATTAAATATCTTAGGTCTGTCTAATAATTATTAAAATAGTGAAATTATCATTATATTATCAATCATCTAATAATAGAGAATTCATTTTAGATGTATTTGATAATTTGACCGAGAAGAAGATTGTCAATAATCCTGAAATAAAATATGAGAGTTTGATTAAAGAAAATGGAAGCAAATGCCATCAAGATTTGTTATACTAAACCTTTTGCAAAATTCATTTATATTTCAGGTATCAAAACACTTTAGGTTATAATATAATGAACACTCATGTATCTACCATCCAGATTAAAAAATACAATGATCTCTTAAATCAAAGTATTTTATTGTCCATGTATGCATTTTGTTTTAACAGTATAAACATAAAGCTTGTCAATTCCTCAGTGAAAAATTAAAACATGAGGATATTTCCTTCATTTAAAATGGTCTATGCCAAATGATAGAGATGGAGAAAAGATTAGTAATTAGGGAGAGCGAGGAGGGCAAGGGGTGCCTGTGACTAACTATAATGGGGTAGAATAAAAGAGATTTTTGTAGTGATGTGAGTTCTTTCATCTTGACTGCAGTAGTGGTTACACTAGCACTGATAATAAAATGGCAAAGAACTATACACACACCACGCGTAAAAGTCAGCAGAGCTGACGGCTTTCCATAGAAAGGCCTGCTTGCAAGACTGACTCTTTATGGGTGTCTAGGAACCTGGATTTCAGGAGCGTTCCCACTGTTCTCTGGTAAGGGTGGCTTACTGTGCCTAAATTGTTTGTGCAAATAAAGTGATTTATGCTGAAAACCTGGGAGTTTCTTCTGAGAGTCGGGAATTTTTATATATCCTAGGCAGAGGGTGCCTACATGACCAACCCCCAATAAAAACCTTGGGCACCGAGTATCTACTAGGCTTCCCTGGAGAGAAAAATCAAATTCATACACATGTTATTGCATTTTTGTTTCCCTCTTTTAAATCCATCTAGGATTCCTTTAGGGTGGTGTCCACCACCTCCTAGAACCCTATTCCTGAGGGTCCTAAATAAGAATGATTTTTCTGCGAGCTCGTATGTTATTATGATACTAGAGGCCCAATGCACGAAATTTTTGCAAGGGGCTTGGCCCTCACAGCCGCAGCGGCTTGCTTCAGCTCTCGCAGCCCCAGCTTCTTCCAGAAGGTTGTCCGGTCTAATTAGCATATTAGGCTTTTATTATTATAGACTAGTGAGCTGGTGCATGAAATTTGTGCACATTGAAAGGGAATTAATTAGAGGACGTGAGCATGAGGCAGTCCGCATTTCTGAAATTCAATGACATGAATTTTAGCTATTACTTGCCAAATAAAATGGAATTTACAGATATCATTTAAAAGAGCATTCAGCTTAATATTAAAAACTCTGGCTACCAAGTCAGCTCTGTTTTCAACTTTTTGCCAGTGTTGTAAATTGTTTGCAATATCTGCCCATTTGGGGTTGCATGTCATGGTTATGAATAAATCGGGCTTGCCATGCTTCGTTACAATTGCCATAGCATACTGATATCACTGCTGCATATTTCTAGGACTACCCTCAAAAGATGATGGTAGTACTATCATTTTACCAATCGGCACATTGTCATTTTCAGATCTAGATTTGAGATAATCCATCAAACCACTATATTTTTCAACTCTCAACTTAGACTGCTTTGATGAAATTTATCCAATTGGCCTCCATTTTTTAATATGAATCCACGATAAACTGTTAACTTTCCTGCATTTAAAATAGGATTGAACGTGTCACGCACAGAGAGATGAAATCCATAATACTGTATTTGTGTGACTCATGTCCTTACATTTTGTCTAGTATTATTGTCGATTACACTGTTGTGTTAGTCTTAGTGTAATATCTGTTCCCTAGCCTTTTTCACCATGTGGAAAAAGAATAGGATATGTCAGTGATGGCGAACCTACGACATGTGAGTCAGAGGTGACACACGAACTCATTTTTTTGGTTGATTTTTCTTTGTTAAATGGCATTTAAATATATAAAATAAATATCAAAAATATAAATCTTTGTTTTACTATGGTTGCAAATATCAAAAAATTTCTATATGTGACACGGCACCAGAGTTAAGTTAGGGTTTTTCAAAATGCTGACACACCGAACTCAAAAGGTTCGCCATCACTGGGATATGTCATTGCATCTAATGTAGGAAAATGGATATTGATTTGTTTCATTTTAGTGGCATTTGGATTATTGGGATATGGTTTACAATGAATGAGCAAGTTCCTTTCAAAAGGAGGTTCTCCATCATTGTTTTTGAATATGACAGCACCCGCGGTTACACGGGGAGAATCTTATCTACCTAGGTCACTGTTACGATTGTATTTAGCTGCCATTGTTACTTCCGTGGGAGCAGTACCTTTTGCTGCTGCTTCAGATTGGGCTTCCTTTTCTACCTCATGTAGCATCTTGTACAATATTGTTAATTCATTTATTTCATGCATGAGGTTGTTGATGTTGATCATGAGTCTTTCTGAGCAGCCCTAGTTTTCTGGCATTGCTAATTTTTTACTTGTAGCTTCAGCTGTATCCAAAATATATTGAGCAAACTTCCAAGAAACACCATCCGGAGGATGTAAAGTTCCAGCACGGTGATAAACTTGTACGTGTATTCTAAAACAGTATGGCCCATATCCTGATGGCGATGCAATATTTGCACCCATAGAAACAAAAGCAAAAGAACTATTTATGGATCGAATATTTTCCATGAAATTTTTACTGTCACAATCTTCATCTGTCACTAATCTTTTTAAATATGCCGGGTAATCTGGAAAATGTATATCATTTAGACAGACTTTCCCTTTGCTACAACATCGAGTAAATTTCCTATTGGGTGGTTTTTCATCAGAGAAATTTAGTGATAGGCAAAATTCATATCAAACAGTCATTCTACCAAAACTATGTTCGAGAATTGCATCCTCATGTACTACATTTTTGCAGAGAAGGCAGTTCCTAACAGAATTGCGTTACTTGTTGATGACTGTTCTTTAGACATATTCTGTCATCCCCAACCCCTTCTTTCAACTTGAAAGGCACGTTGGTCTTTAGACATTTTCTGTTGATGACACCGGTGTTTTTCGGCATCAGAGTGACATTTTTCCGATAGCTGGTCTTCAGATACATTCTGTCGCAGGCGCCGCCTTCTTTCAAGATCAGAAGCATGTTGCTCTTCAGACATTTTCTGTTGATAATGCCGGCATCTTTCGGCTGCAGAGCTACATTATATAAACAGTTGTTCTTTAGACATAGTCCCACCTCTCTACTGTCACAATCTGAGATGCAGGTGAATGGGAGTCCTAGCTGTCAGACTGCTGAGAGCTGTCTGACAAATGGCTGATTCTGGCTGATTCTATGGGGGTGGGACTTCCTCCTCCCTGCTGTCAGTTTCCACAGCTGTGGTGAGGAAGCTGGGGTGACAGAGGGAGCCACGCCCTGCAAGCTGCCCTCTCTCTCGCTCTGCACTATGTCCAGTGGCCTCCTGCTCTGCCAAGTCTTCCAAACCTCCCACTCTCCGCCCGCTCTCCTGCTCTGCTCTCTGCTGGTGAAGGTCCCGGGAGCCTGCAGGCGTGGCTAGGCACAGCTGGCATCACCTCCCGGGGACGGCGATGGTCCCGGGAGCCCGTGGCCACCGTTGCCTCTCGGGGCAATTGACACCAGCGTATGCAAAAAACCCCCCATCTTTGTCAGGTTAACTTGCATACTCACTCCAGATTGGCTGGTGGGCATGGCTTGTGGGCATCGCAGAGGGATGGTCAATTTGCATTTTTCTCTTTTATTAGTATAGACTAGAGGCCTGGTGCACGAACTTTGTGCAGAGGAAGGGTCCCCTCAGCCCAGCCTGAACCCTCTCTAATCTAGGACCCCAGCAGGGTCTAAACCGCAGTCGGACATCCCTCTCACAATCCGGGACCACTGGCTCCTAACTGCTCACCTGCCTGCCTGCCTGATCGCCCCTAACTGCCCCCCTACCAGTCTGATCACCCCCTAACCACCACTGCCTGCTGGCCTGATCGTCCCTAACTTACCCCCCTTCTGGCCTGGTCACCCCACGCAGCCTGCTGTTTGGTCGACCGGTTGTTTTGGTCACCACAGTCACTGCCTTTTATATATATAGATGGAATTTGGTATCTTATGCTATCTTATGTGTTTCTGGGTTGTCCTATATTGAGGATAACTCTAATCCATTGTCTGCATGGGTGTAAAACTTAAGTTTTCTGATCCAAATTATTCTAAAGAACTAATTTTTCCTTTTACCATCTTGTACTATGATTCTTTTAATGCAAAGTTTATTTTTATCATATTTTCCTATTTATTTCTAAGTATCATTTGAACTTGAACATGTAATTATGTCATCAATTTTATCTCACATGATTACTCAGTAACTGATAACAGCAGTACCAATTTTTATAAATATAGAAATATCAGAAGAAAAAGGAGCTGATTATTTATAGACAGAAAGTAGATTTTGTCATGAATCTTCATTTCTAATTGAAAGCCCATTTTTACTAGTTCAAGTTTCTCTTTATTTAACCCTTTGTACACCTTAAGCATCTATAACTGCAAGCGGTGGACCTTCCCCACACTCCACACACGTCTATAGCTCCAAACCTCACATATCAACTCTGGTTGCCCAATTTTAAAATCAGACTTGTTAGTGACATCTCTGGGTTTGTAAAGAAAACGATAGTAACTTAAATTCGTAAATATTCCAGTGCATATGGAAGAAATTCCAGTATCAATATATAGGGCTGCCACTCAGAAGCGCGAGAGATGAACACTGCAACACTTGAGATTTTTTTGTTCATTGTGACACGAGATTTGTGTTATAATGAATTTCATGCTTAAAATGGTAAACATGGTGTGCATTCCTTTTGTTTTTATTACAAATTTCTTCATTGGATCATCAACAAAATTTAGGGTTTTCAAGGCTTTTCCTGTTGACTGTTTATTTTTTATTTATTTATTTATTTTTTAATTAAATCTTTATTGTTCAGACTATTACATTTGTTCCTCTTTTTTCCCCCCATAACTCCCCTCCTCCCAGTTCCCACTCCACCCTCCACCCTCACTCCCCACCCACTGTCCTCATCCATAGCTGCACGATTTTTTTCCAGTCTCTTCCCGCATCTCCCACACCCCTTTCCCCCTAAAGAATAGTCAGTCCATTCCCTTTCTATGTCCCTGATTCTATTATAATCACCAGTTCATTCTGTACATCAGATTATTTATTCACTTGATTCTTAGATTCACTTGTTGATAGATGCATATTTGTTGTTCATAATTTGTATCTTTACCTTTTTCTTCTTCTTCCTCTTCTTAAAGGATACCTTTCAGCATTTCATATAATACTGGTTTGGTGGTGATGAACTCCTTTAGCTTTTCCTTATCTGTGAAGCTCTTTATCTGACCTTCAATTCTGAATGATAGCTTTGCTGGATAAAGTAATCTTGGTTGTAGGTTCTTGCTATTCATCACTTTGAATATTTCTTGCCACTCCCTTCTGGCCTGCAAAGTTTCTGTTGAGAAATCAGCTGACAGTCGTATGGGTACTCCCTTATAGGTAACTGACTTTTTTTCTCTTGCTGCTTTTAAGATTCTCTCTTTGTCTTTTGCTCTTGGCATTTTAATTATGATGTGTCTTGGTGTGGTCCTCTTTGGATTCCTTTTGTTTGGGGTTCTCTGCGCTTCCTGGACTTGGAAGTCTATTTCTTTCACCAGGTAGGGGAAGTTTTCTGTCATTATTTCTTCAAATAACTTTTCTCTTCTTTTCTTTTTTTAAAATATATTTTATTGATATTTAACAGAGAGGAAGGGAGAGGGATAGAGAGTTAGAA